AGGAAAAAAATCTAATGGGAAAGAAATAATAATTAAAAAAAAGTAACAATTACAGCATGGATTTTGCTACTGTACAGGTGCCTCAGAAACATGCATAACAAAGAAACTAATAATTTTAGCCAGGCATGGTGTGTCACACCTATAATCCCAGCACTTGGGAGGCTGAGACTGAGGCAAGGAAGATCCAGAGTTCTAGGCCAGCCTGGGTTAACATAGTAGCAATGCAGTGAAACCCTGTCTTAAAAAAGAAGACCCGGCCAACCAAACAAAACCTAACAATGACAAAAATAAGCTAATAATGTTAAAAAAAAAAAAAAAAGGCATTCATTTGGCTGTAGTTATTACTTGTTTTAGAAGAGGACAATTGAATGTTAAAAGAATAAAAAGATTTACTCTGTAGTAAAACCAAATAGGATATATGTTCTTCCTGATGATGCTATCAAATAATTATAGTAACTCTGAAAATTTTTGTTGTTTTTGTTGAGTCAAAATGTTATAGGCCCTTTGAAAATGACTTAAATAATGAGATGTAATTGAGACTTTTTTGAATGGCAGAAATATATCAATACATATAAAATGAACGATTTCCACTGAGGTACTTCAACCCACATTTGAAGTTACCATTTTAGTGTACCTCCCAACTCCCTGGTGCTAGGGATCAAACTGAACCTCAAGCATGCCAGGCAAGTGCTCTACCACTGAGATGCACCCCAGCCTGTTTTTACAAGTGTATTCTTTATACTTGCTGCTTTATACTTGGTATGTTTCCTCTGTTGTTTTGAAACAGAGCAGAAACATAACTGCTAAGCTCATGGATTGGATATGCAAAAAAATGATAGTAGTATATAAATCCTGGATTCTATAGACTATGTCTCAGGTTGAAGGTAATTGTCCATTTTTCATATGAATTCAGATAAATTGTCTTTATCTTTCAGAAAACACTTCTGTTATTAGCCACATAAAGTTTTAGAAACACTATATTCCTTTGAGATTTGCTTATTTAATTCTGTGTGTGTAGAATAATGGATTTGATGTCTAGAAAAGCAAATCAGTGTCCAATTGGGTCCTTACATGTTGTCTGGCATCTTTCTTCCCTCATGATTTACTTTGATTCATATGCTCATTTCAACAGATATTCAACCAAAGAATACTTAATTGTCATTTGGGTCCTTGAAGTTTCCATTCTTAAGTATTTCTTTACTGAGCCTACTATGCACCAGGGACCAGTTAAGCCCCAGAAGTTCCAAAGTGTATCAGGAACCTTGCATTCTGCTACAGAAGGCAACTGATAAGGATGGCTAATATTTGGAAAGTGTAGCTTTTTTATTTATTCATTTATTTATTTATTTTGTATTTGAGCTTTTAGGTTAAAACTTTTTTTTTTTTCTGTGAATCTCTTAAAGATGAAATCAGGAAAATCACAGTAAGTGACTGAAATTTTAGTCTGAGTAAAGACTGTCTTCAACTGAGTAGAGCTGATGTTAAGAATGTGTAAATGTTGTTATCAGACATGTCAAGAAATGTGAACAGCTTACGGTGGGCAAATTAACTTCAGGTGTTTGCAGTTTGAAATTATACAGTTACTTTCTACCAATACTAAGTCACTGACACAGACTAATAGAATGAATCTAAATTCTTACTCGCTTATTTTAGCATTATTGTTACTTTCTTAATTTTTAAAAATGTACAGAACATTTCAAATATATACAAAAGGAGCAAAGAGTGTCCATGGGTTTTTTTTTTTGTTTTTTTGTTCTTGTTAGTACTGGAGTTTGAACTCAGAGCCTTGTGGTTGCCAAACAGGTGCTTCACCATTTGAATTATGCCCACACCATTTTGTCATTTCTTGATTCAGCAATCATGAATAGACATTTAAATTGCTTCATTGATACCTCGCTCCAACCTGATTTTTAGAAGTAGTCCCAAATACAACATTTCACCTATAAGAATTTATGTATCTTTAAAACATAAAAACTGGGTGCCGATGGCTCACATCTATAATCCTTAGCTACTTGGGAGACTGAGATTGGAAGAATCATGGTTCAAGACCAGACCCTGGCAAATAGTTCACAAGATCTTATCTCCAAAATAACTGGAGTAAAATGGACTGGAGGTGTAGCTCAAGCAGTAGAGCACCTGTTTTACAATTGAGAAGCCCTGAGTTCAAACCCCACTACTGCCCAAAAAAAGAATTGGGCTGGAGATGTGGCTCAAGTGGTAGAGTGCCTGCTTGGAAAGTACTAGGCTCTGAGTTCAGACCCCAGTACTACCCCCCAAAATAATAAGGATTAAATATACACACAAAATTGCAATACTGTTATCACACTACCCCCCAAATTGATAACAGTTTATTTATTATTATGATTATTATTATTGTTTTTGAGACAGCGTCTGCTGTGTCACCCAGGTTAGCCTACAACTCGAAATCCTCCTATCCAAGTCTCTGGAGTGCTAGGATTACAAGTGTTTGCCACCATACTTGGCTTAACAGTTTACTATCACTTGTCAAATATCTAAGTAGTGTCCATATTTCCCAGCTGTATCATTAATGTATGATGGTTCATTTGAAGCTAGATCAAAACAAGGTTACACCTTACACCTAGTTGATAATTTTCTTAAATCTATAACAATCCCTGCCCCTTTTTTAATAATTATTTGTTGAACAAGCAGATTATTTGTCCTAAAAATTTGACAGATTGCATCCCTTAGTATGACATTTAACTCATTCTACTCCATTTTTTTTCCTTTGAGTTAGGAAGTCAGATCCAGAGATTATTAGATTCACACTTAGTTTTCTTCTCTCTCTCCCTCTTTTTTCTTTGTCAAGAAAATTTTAAAGATGGGGATATGTACTTCATGTAAGTCATGGTGCTCATAATGTCTGGTTGTCTCCTTTCTGTGGTATATTGATCAGTGTGTGCAGATGTTTAAAAGTTGCTTATCATTTCACAGCTGTTTTTTGGCCATTGCCTGGATTTGTTGTTTCATGTAATATTCTAACTATATTTTCTCCTCCATTTATTGCTGATGTTCCATAAAGTAAAACTTGGGCTGGCAAGGTTTTGTTATCATAATGAATTCATGAATTTTTTTTATCATGGTTGATATATTCTACTACATTACGGTCCTTTTTGGGAGCCTCTATGTTAGTGGCTTACTAGTATGTTCTTTTAACATACTAGTCTTTAGTCACTCTCTTGCTTCGGGGGTATAAAGTATACCATGGTATACCAGGCTTATTTTATAAATTTTCTGCTCAGTCCTTTGTCTAAAGAACCTTGTTTATTTTAGAAGTCATATCTACAGACCGCAATAGGTGTTAAAGAATCAAGCTCATGGCTTACAGTTATAATCCCAGCTACTTGGGAGGTAAAGATAGGAGAATCATGATTCAAGGCCAGCTCTGGCAAAAAAAAAAAAAGGCCATGAGTTCAAACTCCAGTACCAACACAAAAAAAGAAGAGGCTTCATTTGAATTAATAGCCATTTTTCTGAAGTGTTTGAATTGCATGGTGTTGGTAGTTTCAAAAATTGACATTGTGCAAACTTGCCTTTTAGTTTCCAGTTTAATTTGAGATAGTTATTAATTAGATATACTTGGTATATTCTGTGGAGCATCATAAATTTAGTCTTGTTGGACTGAGGTTGTGTTTCCTTCCCATTTTTCTCTTGAGCACTCCACTTCATTTTTCTTACTTCATAAAGAATTCATTCTACAATAGGTCGTGCTTACAACTGTTTCCTGCTCAGTCCTTTTGTCTAAAGAACCTTGTTTATTTTAGAAGTCATAATCTACAAGACGCAATAGGTGTAAAGAATCAAGCTCATGGCTTTACAGTTATAATCCCAGCTACTTGGGAGTAAAGATAGGAGAATCATGATTCCAAGGCCAGCTCTGGCAAAAAAAAAAAAAAGGGCCCATGAGTTTCAAACTTCCAGTACCAACACAAAACAAAGAAGAGGCTTCATTTGAATTAATAAGCATTTTTTCTGAAGTGTTTGAATTGCATGGTGTTGGTAATTTCAAAAATTGAACATTGTGCAAACTTTGCCTTTAGTTTTCCAGTTTAATTTTGACGAATAGTTATTAATTAGATATACTTTGGTATATTCTGTGGAGCCATATATAATTGTAGTCTTGTTTGGACCTGGAGGTTGTGTTCATTCCCATTTTTCTCTTGAGCACTCCACTTCATTTTTCTTACTTCATAAAGAATTCATTCTACAATAGGTCGTGCTTACAACTGTTTCCTGATCACTGATGATACTTGAAATTATTTTTGTAAAATGATTGAACCTTTTAAAATGTAAATTTCCAAAGTGTTGGTGTTACCTAGTTACCTAGTCTATTGTAGAGTATGGTTTATTATCTACTTCTTTTCGCTATGAATGTAGAAAGAGAAGGGTAGTAAAGTTTAGCACATTTGTTTCCTCTCACTGCTTACTATGAAATCAAGTGGTTGCTTTATGGCCTGTCTGTACTAAAAATCTTCAGAAATTTGCCAACTTTTAAGGACATTTCATCACGTGTTAAAAAGTTTCTAAATTCATTTTGTCTTGTATTATTACAGTGAATGTCTGACTTTGGATATAAACACTAAATCTTAGTTTATTTGTCTCATACAGGGTTGTCAGTAAATGATAGTATTAAATAGAGGGTTTTGCTCCTTTGTACTTTGTCTTTTTCTAATCCAGTTCTACAGAATAAGGCTTCATTATATCTGTATTCTTGTATTAGTGCATATATATAAACCCTAAACTTATTTTCTTTCAAAGTATAGTCAGTGCTTTGGGTATGGATAATTTCATACAGTCAAGCTGGTCTGTTTCTCTGAGTTTTTGTCCTTTTTTCCCCCTTTATTACCAACCTCACAGGGATAACACATTTTCACTATCTTGTTTAATGTTTTTCTTTTGAATATTGATTATTCTCTGTGAGGGTGTGTTTGTGGTGGCTTTATTATTCCTTTTTTTTTTTTTTTTTTTTTCCTGTTCCTACATAAGGGAGCACATGTAATTTGTGCAAACCTGACATTTTGTGATTGGGGGGTATGTGTGTGTGACAGCCTTCTTATGTGCGTAACTCATTGGATACATGATTCTGTGTGAGTAATAACTCAGGGCTCCTTTTTCTAATAATTTGATATGGTTGATCAGCTTTGGGTAAAATTAGCACATAGTTAATTCATTTAAGATTCTAAGAGATAGAGATGATACAGTGCTACTTAATTCTTAGTTTCTTTACACTTCAGTGCATCCTAACCAGTTTTGTGCCTGTGCTTTCTTGAGTTAGAATCTCAGTAACATCTTTCTCAGCTACTATTCCTGATGGTGTAATTTCTTTTCTTGGCTCAAAGTCTCAGGAAGTACCTCATTATCTAAGAGAAGCTTGTGACTCTCAATCCTAGCTGCCCTCCTATTCTTTCCTCTGTAGGACAGCCCATGTACTCTCGTGAACATGGTGCTGCTGCATCCGAGCGACTTCAGTTGGGGACACCGCCTCCTCTGTTGGCAGCTCGTTTGGTGCCACCTCGCAACCTCATGGGATCCTCCATTGGGTATCATACCTCAGTCTCCAGCCCCACCCCTCTGGTCCCAGGTAAGCTTTGCTATAGATGGCCATCCACCTCACTGATCTTTTGTACGTTAAATTGGTCAGCCTTAGAGATGACCTGGCATTCTGATCTGCTCTCACACATTCACATTAAAGGTCTTAGGCAGTGTTATTCTCTATTCTTCTGCTTCTTTGGTTTGTCCCTACTGGTTGCTAGATGATTAGGCCTCCTGTGTGTCTGTCATCTCTGGTGTCTGCTATATTTACTTTCAGTGCCTTGGTAACAAAGTCATGCAAGTTCCTTGAGCTATTTTCTAATCAAGTAGGAAGATAGTATCTACTACAGAGTTTCTAATTAATTAATTATACATTACAAGGAAAACTAGGTTAATTTGCCTTTAAAATAAAACACAAACATCTGGTTTCTTGCTGATTATGGGAAAATATGTCCTTTTTATCCTTCTGTTTCCTTTTGTATGGGTGATTACATACAATGTGGTGATTCTTGAAAACCCTTTCTTCCTACTTACCTGTGGATTTTGAAGATTTGTAGAGCGCTTTGTTGGTGTTTCATGAGCTTCTGGTTTTTTTGAAAAGACATTTTTCACTTTGACTTTAGATTTTAGTTCATCATAACTAACTAAAGTACTTTTTTCTTTGAGACAGGGTCTCTCTGTATAGCCCAGGCTGGTCTAGGACTTAGAATCCTCCTGCCTTAGCCTCCCAAGTGCTGCAACTACAGCTGTGTGCCACCACACCTGGCTTAACTAAATAAAAGACTTAAATTTATTAGGGTTATATGTATTCCCAGGGATTATAGAACAATGTCATTTAATTATTTAACTTTAAAAACATTTTTATCCTCTACTATGGGAGATACTCTGTTAGTAGTACCAAGTGGTAACCAAAAACTTAATCATAATTTGCCTTTTTAAAATTATTTTGTATGTTATTAAATATATGTAATTTTTAGAGTTGAAATTTATAATCATTGAAGCTGTTATTTTACTTATCTTAAAACTATATCATTCTTAAGCACATTTAAATTTAAAGAATAAGTACAGGAGACTTGCTTTTAAGCTGCATGTTATTACAGTATATGTTTCTATCAGTAGGGCATACTCACAATTAAATATTGTCTTTAGTTATCTTAAAGAAACAAAAATTACAGGGCTGTAGGCATAGCTCAAGTGAGAGAGTGCCTGGCTACTAAGTGTGAGACTCTTGAGTTCAAGCCCCAGTACTGCCAGAAGAAAAAGGGACAAAGATTATAAAGAGGAGGCTTAGAGCATAAGCTGAAATAATTAAGTAAGAACTCTAAAGAATACTCTATGGCAGACATCTGTATTCATACCTACTAACTATTGAGGTGAAAGAGCCCATTTGGTTTTATTAACCATCATCAAACAATTTTGAGGGTGAGTGCAGGCTTTGAAAATAAGGAGCTCAAACAGCCCTGGTGTTTAATTTTCACCATTATTTAACTTTTTATTAGAGGGAACAGTTTTTAACAAATTGATGTCCTTTCTGTACAACTCCATGAACTGTTTTCAAAAGCAGAAGGAAAAATGTGGGGAGAAGGTGTACTGATACCAAATATCTCAGAATCACATGTACTTTGTTGGCATTTTATTAGTTTGGACTTAATGTTAGCCTGTTGTTGATGTTTTGTACAAGGAGAGAATTTGGTCATGAGTCTGAAGTTAGGGGAAACACAGTATTTGGGGAGAGGTCTAATCTAAGAGGTTTGAGAGTGAGACATTTGCTGCATTGGGGACTTCTGATCCTAGTAGTACTTGTTTAGAGAGGGCTGCAGATTCAAATGCCTTTAGAGGTCAGGAAGGTCACTAAAGGGGATTGTTTGCTGGTCTTATACTCTGAGTCACAGTAGTCACTGTAGTCACTTACCATTAGAAAAAGTGTGAATGTACCTTATCTTGTAGCTCAAACTTCATATGACTCACTTGATTAATTTTCCTATTAAAAAAGAGAGAGGGAGAGAGAAGCAAGGACTTGTAAATCTTAATTATGAAAACCAGTGTAGTCTTAACACTTTCATTTTATATAGAGTGAAGAGGATATATGCCATTTGGATTGAAGAGGATATACGCCATTTGGATTTTCTTGTTTGGAATTTCTTTTTTTTGGTGGGGAGGTCCTAATATTGGGTTTTGAACTCAGGGCCTCATGCTTGCTAGGCAGGCGTTCTTACCACTTGAGCTACTCGGCCAGTCCTGAAATTTCAGATACAAAATTCTTTAGAATTTAAAACTGAAATTTTTTTGCAGAGAAAAATGGAAAACATAAAAGGACATTGATGAAGATGGCATTACTAATTGTAAATATAAAATTGACCTTATTTGGCTCTTTTATTTGAAATATACTCTACATATGAAACTAATTATTATCTCTTCAGTTTAAAGCACAGATAATCAAATGAACAAGTTATTTTTTTTTTCCTCTTTCTAATTAAGAGAGTAAGTGGGAGGCCTAGTTTGGTGGTTTATACCCATAATCCCAGATACTTAGGAGGTAAAAATAAAAGGATTTTGGTTTGAGGCCAGCCTGGGCAAAAAGTTAGCAAGACCCTATTTCAAAAAACAGGCTAGGTATGGTGTTTTACATCTGTAATCCCAGCTATTCAGGAGGCAAAGATAGGAGGATCTCTGCCCCTGAGGGAAAATGAGACCCTATCTGAAAAATAACTAAAACAAAAAGGACTACGGGTGTGGCTCAAATGGTAGATTATTTGCCTAGCAATCACAAGGCCTGTGTTCAAACCTCAGTGCCACCAAAAAAAAAAAAAGTAACCTAGGACTTGGTGAGACACAAAATTCAACATTCTTTAGTATATATGGTATTAGAGTACTTGAAAATTTGTCTTAAAAATGTGCATTGAAGTTTGTATTAGGTGATTAATGTATAGGGTAGAAGTGGCTAAGTGAATGAATCTGGAAATATATCAGTATTTGTGACTGAATGTATTTATCAATGTTTTGTGACAGTGCCATTGTTTTCTTTTACTTCCAAATGGAGTATCTATGTACCGTAACTCAAAGTGAAATATGTATGGATTGATGTAATTATATTTGTTGAAGATATATTTTTAACAGTTACTTATTTTATGGTAATAAGAAATGATTTGACCTCTGTGATTTATTAATGTGTTTTGTTTTCCCTCAGATACATATGAACCAGATGGTTATAACCCAGAAGCTCCTAGTATCACCAGTTCTGGTAGATCACAGTACAGACAGTTCTTTTCAAGAACACAGACACAGCGTCCCAACCTCATTGGCCTAACATCTGGAGATATGGATACAAATCCAAGAGGTGAGAATGTCTTGAACTTTTTCTGACGGTAAATGTGCAATAGTTGGATATAATTGTTGGATTTGTAATTTCTGTCCTAATCTGAAGAAATTAGAGTACTCTTTGAAGGGAACTATGTAGTCATCTCAGTTGTTCTTCATAAGTTCTTACAACTTTTATCTCAAAATTTTATTTGAAATTAGAATATTTTTATTTTTAAAAACATAATATTAATTGCTTTTCTTGGTAGGACTTCAGACTTTTTGCTATGTGCTTGGCATTGTGGTAGATACTTGGTACAGAAAGATGCCTTTCTCTCAAAGAAGTGATCATTAAGGGTCTACTTTGGAGCTGTGTGTGGTGGCATAGGTCCATAATCTCAGCACTTGATATGCTGAAGCAGGAGGATCACAGGTTTGGACTACATAGTGAGATCCTGTCCCAAAAAAAAGGAGGGGGAGGTTACTTTGTATCCTTAAAGCTATAGCTTTAACATTGAAAACCTAAAATGTTGTAATTATCATTTTTATCATTTAACCATTACAACCATCAGTTAAGACCTGTTACAAAGTATAGACACAAAGCTCAAAAATAAAATCAAGGTTAAATACAAGGATTTACCTTTAATATGGGTTGATAACCACCCCCTCCAAACAAAAAAAGGAGTATGGTAAGATTCCAGTTTCTTAGCATCGTAAAATTTCCAGTATTTAGTTTCAGTTTCTCTGGTTGGGTACTTACGATAATTTTCTTATTTAATCATATAGCAAACACTTCTCTCTCTCTCTCTCTCTTTCTTTCTCTCTCTCTTTCTTCAGTGGTGGTATTTGGGCTTGAACACAGGGCCTCACACTTGCTAGGCAGGTGCTCTGTCACTTGAGCCACTCCTCCAGACCACAAACCCTTTTCTATTTCTCTCCACTGTCTGGAGTTTATTCACTCTTCTTTACTGGCATTAACAGCTTTATTACCAGGATGGGCTAACAGTTTTTGTGTCAGAATTATACTAAATGCATCTAAACCTCTTGTATTCCTTACAAACACTCCATAAAAGAGATGCTGTCTTAATTCCAAAGACTCAGGCTCAGAGAGATAAAAGAACTTGCCTAAGTTCACATAGCTATTAAGTGGTAGAACTAGAATTTGAATCCAGAGCTGTCTTAACTCCAAAGAGTATGCTCTTACCTTCTCTGCTATAATGCCTATAACCCTTATCTGATGACCTAATATTAGTGGGAAGTTCATGCTCTCAAAAGTGTTTCCTTGGTCTGTATGTACATTCATTCCTAGTAATCCATAGATAATGTCTCAGTATAGAAGTAATGTGGTTTCTTTATGGTGAGTTTTCTTTGTCATCTTGGACAGGTCACTTAACCTCCACTACAGAAAAAAACATTAGGCACCATTAGGTATTAATTACAACTGCCATTTAAAGAAAGCAAAATGGCATCTTAAATTTCAGAAAGTCTTTTGCCATCATACTCACTCCTCCATTAGCCTTCTGAAAACATTAAATAACATAGCTGTTTAATTCAGTGATTTGTCTAGTGTACTTTCTGAGCTGTAAATAGCTGCTCAAGAAATGCATGTTTAATGCATGAATCTTTACATCATAATTTCCCTGTCACACAGATGAGAGGGAGATAGCAGTCTCAACCCACATCCACCCCAGTGCCCAGTAACATGTTATTCTCTGCCTGATGGAGTTGATGAAATTAGGAGAAATACTCAGAGTATCACAGACATGGCTTTGTGTTACTCATTTTTGGGTTTTGTACACCTCTTACTATCCATAGGTGTAACCTATTGTAAAGTTAGTTTTATTGTGAGTAAAATATGCCAATTCAAAATATTGGCTTTGGATTTTCTTCTCAATTCTGAAGTTGAAAAAAATTTAAATCTACAGAGAGTCAAAAGAATCAGTGAACCCATGAATGCTGAATGCCTTCACTTAGATTTGCCAGTTCTTAACATTTTGTCACCTTTGGCCATGAATGCTCACTAGTGTACTTTCTTTTCTCCCTCTCACCCAGCCCCCTCCCATTCCTGTCTCTCCTGTCCCATCACGTTAGTTTTCTTTAACCATTTGAAAGTAAATTTAAAGTGACTCTTTAAATCCTTTAGTTTACATTTAGGAATAAGACATTGTCCTATATAAACCCAGTACTGTTGCCACACATAAGGACATCATAATTCCATAATAAGATGCAGTTCTCATGATGTGATGAACATCTTGTGATCACACCTGGAGGCAGATAATGGCCTCCATTAGTGATACTAAGTTTAAGTGAGATTGATTGCTTGTGGTGATAATTGTTACATATCTCCATTGTAGAAGTAATTAATTTGTGGAAGGGTTCTTTGGCACCATATAAATACTGTGTTCTTCAAAAACCCTTCTCTAGTAATCTTTTATATCCATCAGTGATCCATGTTTGAGTTAATTATTACATTGAGTTGCCTTTGAGTTTTTAAACTTTGATTTTCAGTTTTTAAAAAATAGAAAAGACAGGCATTTGTAATTTTTCTTATTTTAAGCATCTGCAAAAAGGGAATAGTAGTAATTGAGTGTAATTCATGGTACTGTTTAGCTTTTAGACTGAATATTTTAATCACATGAAGTTCCCCTGAAACTCAGTAATGTGAATTTTTCTTTCCAACAGCTGCTAATATTGTCATCCAGACTGAACCACCAGTTCCTGTTTCAATTAATAGCAACATAACCAGAGTGGTTCTTGAACCAGACAGCCGAAAAAGAGCTATGAGTTTGGAAGGTCCACTTACAAAGAAACCGTGGCTGGGAAAGTAAGATAATTTCCTAATATCTAAATGGTGCTTTTGTTGTCTTGTTTATAAGATTTTTAAAATTAAAGAGTCATCACTAACCAGTGATTTTCAAATTATGTGTCTCAGTGTTAGGGTTCCAGGAGACATCTGTAGAATATCCTAAAAATTGGAAAACTAACAATATTAATAGTAGATATTTGTAATTTTACAAGATCCCATCTCTACCAATAAAAAGCTGGGTGTAGTGGCATATTGCTGTCTTCTCGATTACGTGGGAGGTATAAATAGGAGGATTGAGGTCTAGGCTGGCTTGAACTAAAACTCCAGACCCTATTCTAAAAATAATGAAAGCACAAAGGGCTGGGATGTGGCTCACTTAAGTGTTAGAGGGTCTGCCCAGCAAGCAGAAGGCACTGAGTTAAAAACACAGTACTACCAAAAAAAAGGAAAAAAAAATGCACTATTAAAAAACAGTGCTCTCTCTTTGCTTTAATGTTAAACTCTGATAATTATGGCAAATCTTTTTAACTTTTTTTTAGTGGATCTGGGGTTTGCTTGCAAAGTAGGTGCTCTTTTGCTTGAGTCACAGTTCCAGTCTGTTTTGCTCTGGTTATTTTGGATATTAGGTCACTTGAACTATTTGCTTGGGCTGGCCTCACAAGGAGATTCTCCTGATCTCAGCCACCCAAGTAGCTAGGATTATAGGCATGAGCTATGAGCTATGGGTGCCCAGCTTACCACGTGATTTTTAACTTCACTCGCACTTCTTTTTTTGTGCTATTTCATTATTCACTCTTTTCTTCCCACCTGTTCTATTATAGAAAGGGTGATGTGGAAATTGCTCCATAATTTCTCAGAATGCTAAGGGCATAAGCTTTACAATCTTTGCTATGTAGCTTTTGGCTATCAATGAAATGGGAAAACTAACAAAGATTTATTAATACTTGTTTCAGGCAAGGGAATAACAATCAGAGTAAGCCAGGATTCTTGCGGAAGAATCAGTATACAAACACCAAATTAGAAGTCAAGAAAATCCCTCAGGAATTGAAACAACATTACCAAGCTCAATGAACACTTCAGCAAATTTGGAACTATTGTTAATATACAGGTAAGTGGCTATGTCAGTGATAGAATCCATGCATTTTACAGGTCTTGGAAAATATACCTATCAGTTAGCTCACCTTGCTTAAAATGAGTCAGTAGTGATTCTGATCATCTATCTACCAAGTGCTATAAACTCTATTATATGGCTAATTACACATCTTTATGATGGAATTGTTAAATTGAATTTGTTTTTGTTAATTCATTTGGTTCCATGCTATAGTTCCTTCTTGGAAGACTAGTCACTGTATTTTTGTTCACATTTCTGTCTCTGAACAATTGGTCTTTTTATCCCCTACTTTAATACTCTATCTGAGATTTTTGGTAATTTCTAAGATTATAATCTTGTCTTGACTGATTTATGGTTAAATAGTAATTGGTTAAGGATAGATCTAATCTTGAAAATTTTAGGTAGTGTAGTATATTACCCTATATCAAAAAATTATAGCTTTTTGTATTTTACTTGTTAGATATTTAAATTTGGGGTTGAATGTTATGTTGTAGTTAAGGGTACTTGAAGATTAGTTTTAAGTTGGAATATCACACCAGGCACTGGTAGCTCACATCTGTAATTTTAGCTACTTGGGAGGCTGAGATCGAAAGGATTACAGTTTGAGGCTAGCCCAGGCAAATAGTTCCTGAGACCCACCCCCCGCCTTCCAAATAACCAGAGCAAAATGAATGGACTGGAGGTGTGGCTCAAGTTGTAGAGCCTCCTGCTTTGCAGTGTAAAGCCCTGAGTTCAAACCCTAATCCCACCAAAAAGAAAAATTTCAGTCTGTTAATTGTGACACTTCTGTGTTATCATCAAACCAACATGTCACTGAGTTTAAGTAGTATTGGAGGATTTAGTATTTCAAGGAATTGAACCAAAGAGTTCTCTTTTTGTTTTTTCAAGATAGGGTCTGCTTATGTAGCTTAGACTGGTCTCAAACTCATGATCCTTCTTCCTGCATTACAGTTATGCACTGCCATACCTGGCCAAAGTGTTCTTTCTGAGAGAGAGATTTTTCAGCAAATTTTTTCCTTGGTATCACCCAAATGTTGTTTTTGGCAATAATGATTATTCTTTTTCTTTTTTTTTTTTTGGTACTGGGGTTTGAACTAAGGATCTTGTGCTTACTAAACTAGCATGTGCTCTATCAGTTGTTGGAGACCAGTCCTCTGTTCATGTTTTCATGCAAAGATATACTACTACTTTGTAGAAGAATATATACATACGCACAAAAGATGTGGTCATACCAAATGTTCCTACCCTTTTTCTGTTAAAATTTGCCTGTTTTTATTCTGTAAGGCATTTAGAAAAACTTAGATGGCTTAATGTAGATAGGTGTAATAGTCTAGTCAAGCTCCCATAAAAAATACCATACACTGAAATAAATAAATATAAATTTATTCTCACAGTTCTGGAGACTAGAAAGTCCAGGGTGAAGGTTCTGACCTATTTGGTTCCTGGTGATGGCTTTCTTTTTTCTAGCTTTTCACTGTATCTTCACACTGCAGAGAAATAGAAAGGAAGATTTTTTTTTTTCCTTCACAAAAGGACACCAATCCTTTCCAATTAGGGCCCCAAATTTAGGACCTTGTTTAACCTTAATTACTTTCTAAAAACTCCCATCTCCATTGAGGAGTAGGGCTTTCACATGCAAAATTTGGGGAAGAGGTGTTATAGTTTAGTCTATAGCAATGAATCATGTAATTTATTTCACTGTTCTCTCTCATGAGAATTTATGCTCTATTATTTTCTTTAAAGGTTGCTTTTAAGGGTGATCCAGAAGCTGCCCTCATCCAATACCTTACCAATGAGGAGGCCAGGAAAGCCATTTCTAGCACAGAAGCAGTTCTAAACAACCGATTCATCCGAGTCCTGTGGCATAGGGAAAACAATGAACAACCAGCACTACAATCCCCAACGCAGTTGCTTCTGCAACAGCAGCAAACAATGAGTCACCTCTCACAGCAGCACCATCACCTTCCACAGCATCTTCATCCGCAGCAGGTGATGGTGACCCAGTCTCCTCCATCATCAGTACATGGAGGCATCCAGAAGGTAATCTAGTTCACTAGGAATGAAAGGTCTGGTCCTTGAGTGTTCTACATTAGAGTGATTGATGGATTGATTTCCAAACCAGCATCTGATCCCTTAGGAGCTTATTAGAAATGCAATTTCTTGGGTTTGCTCCATCCTACTGAATGGGAATTTCTGAGGGTGAGAGCCAAGAATCTGTGTTTAAAAGCTCTGCAGGTGCTGGAGGTGTGGCTCGTGTGGTAGTGTGTCTGCCTAAAAGCTCTGCAGGTGGTTCTTAAATACCTTAACATCTGAGATGTGTTGTTCTCCATCACAATCACTTACCTAGGTGCAAATTCCTGGGCCTCATCTGTAGTACCAAATCTACAGAGTTGATCTATAGATATGGGGGCCTAGAAGTCTGAAGTACTCTAAAGGGATACACATCCATTGTCCACCACTAAGCAGCTCTGAATCTAGAACTACTTTGTTTTATATTAGAATTGGTCTCCTTTGTATCCATCCATTTGTCATACTTTTTCCTGTGGAGAAAAATCTTATTTCTTTAAAAATGGAGGCCAGGTAAGCAGCTCATGCCTGTAATTCTGGCTCCGTGAGAGGCATAGGTAGAATTATTGAGGTCAAGGCCACCCCAGGAAAAAAGTGTGATACCCTATCTGAAAAGTAAAGTGAAAAGAGCTGGTCAGGGGTGTGACTCAAGTGTTAAGGCAACTGCCTAGTAAGCTTAAGGCTCTGAGTTCAAATGCCAATATCTCCCCCCCTCAAAAAAAACTGGAATGGAAGCTCCAAGTAAATTGGGATTTGGGGATATTTTGGTAGGATTCCCCCCCCACTTCCACTCCCAGTACTGGGGCTTGAAAACTCAGGGCCTATACCTTGAGTCACTCCACCAACCCTTTTTTTCTTCTTTTTTTGGGAATGGGTTTTTTTTTCCAGATAGGGTCTTGCAAACTGTTTGCTCCAGCTGGCTTCAAACCACAATCTTCTTGATCTCTGCCTCCTTAGTAGCGAGGATTACAGGCATGAGCCACTGGCACCTGGCTTTTTTTTTTTTTTTTTTTTAAGGATGAAGTCATACTGTGTAGTCTAGGCTGGTCTTGAATTTGTGATCTTCCTGACCTAGCCTCCCAAGACCTAGAATTATAGGTGATGCCACCAGAGCTGATGGAGGATTGCAAGTTCAGAGTCAGCTTGGGCCATATATCAAGGCCCTGTCCCCCCGACAAAAAAAGTCTTCCTTGTACTATAGTGTCAACTCCATCCTCATCATTCCTACTCATTAACACCTAAACCTTCATTCACTTTTGCTGTTATACCCATCATATTATCACCCACATGTGAATACTTGCCCTGGATGCAGAGTAGATAATGAAGGAAATGTTCTATTAATACAGCTCAAGATTCCTTATGTTTTTGACATGATTACTTCATACTGGCATAGTGTCAACAAAATCCCCTATCTCCAAAGTATTTATTGGAGAGAATATTAAGAAATTATTAGCAATCCGGTGTGCATATATACACACATTCTGTTGTGACATATTTTATATTTTTAGTGCTGGGTTTTGAACACAAGGCCTTGTGCATGCTGATAAGCATGAGCTTTGTGACTTAGCTACACCCTCAGATGTTGGGACATACTGTAAACACCCATAAAAGTATGAATAATACAACATAATAATGTGTATATTCACCATATTACCTAAGAAATAAAATCCTACAGCTAATGAAGGAGCCTCTCATTCCGATTTCCTTATCTTCTTCCCCAGAGTAATCACTATCTTAAATTTGTATTATTCTTGAGCATGTTGTAAGACTTTTACCACATATGTGTTTATTTTGTATATATGCAGATGATGGGAAAACCACAGACACCAGGTGCATATGTTCTTAACAAAGTTCCTGTTAAACATCGTCTTGGACATGCAAGTGGTAACCAGAGTGATGTGTCACACTTGTTGAATCAGTCTGGTGGTGCTGGGGAGGATTGCCAGGTATGCATTTCTGTGTCCCTCATAAATAGATTTAGAGACATTCAGTAGCACAAAGAAAGAAATTGATTATCAGCCAGATTTGTTAAATGCCTTATTTCTCCAATTAAGAAAAGTGTGACGGTTATCCTAAGTATAGCAAATGCACCTCCCTAATTTCCTTAACTGAGTCAGAAATTTTGGTAGTTAAATTTTGTTTTCTATTTAAAGCTAAAAAGGAATTTGAGTATTTTAGACTATCCTCTCGCTGTTGAATTGCCTTTGCTCTTGGTTAACATTAGTTAACCAAATATGTGAGGATATCTTATCTTAATCTTACCTTAATCTTACTGGTAAAGAATCATAATTCATATTAGCTCCTAGATAGAGGGGTGTTTAATACTTTTTATGGTTTTGGAAGCATTCATGTTTTTGTCTATGTTCAGTCATGATAGTGGAGTATTCTTGATCTATCTACCACAAGCATAGCCTTGTCTTATATTGATACTCTGTGAAATGCATTAATAGAAGGACAACTAAGGACTATCTTTGACTGACAGGCCAGCTTCTAGGGGCTGCTCTTCTTTTTCTCATAATTAAAATTTAAAACAAAGAGAAATAATGGGATTGCATTCAGAAACAGAATGTTACTTAAATTTGTCTTTTGCATAACAATTTATGCACAGAGAATTAGCTTTTAATTTCTATGTGGTACTGGGACTTGAACCCAAGGCCTTCACCTTGAGCCATTTCACCAGCCCTTTTTTCTTTATGGGTTTTTTCAAGATAGAGTCTCACAACCTGTTTGCCCTGTCTGGCTTTGAACTGCAATCCTCCTGATCTCTGCCTCCTGAATAGCTAGGATTACAGACGTGCGCCTCCAATGCCCGGCTGAGAATTACCTTTTAAAATGAAGTTTTAAGATGTAAATGTATATTTATATTCACATACTCATTTTAAGCATAAATATCCATTTATGTGTACTTTTAAATAAATGTATTTAAATATAAATATTAAAATTTTAACTTTAAGAAAGTACACTTCTGTTTCAGAAAGTCCACATTTTCATCATAATTGAGGGAATTGACATGATCAATTAAACAAAATTTAACTTTCAGGAAGAGTAAATATTGTCTTTCTGGAAATGATCTTAATCATTTTGAAGATTTATTTTAATAGTGTTTATGTGATCTTTGCTTTTTGGTTTTGTTTCTTAGATATTTTCAACTCCAGGTCATCCAAAAACAATTTACAGCTCCTCAAACTTAAAGACGCCTTCAAAACTTTGTCCAGGGTCTAAATCTCATGATGTTCAAGAAGTTCTTAAAAAAAAACAGGTAACAGTCTCCATTCTTGCCTTATAGAGGTAGGGTCTCTCTTTTTTGTTCAGGGCTGGCCTTCTCTCTCTCTTTCTCTCTCTCTTCCCCCCTCCCCCCAGGCTTTATGCTTGCTAGTCAGGCACTCTGCCACTTGAGCCACGTCCCCAGCTCATCTTGCTTTTGTTAGTTTTCAGGTAGGGTCTCTCTTTTTTGTCCAGGGCTGGCCTTGGACCATGATCCTCCTAAGGATCCACTGTAACTGGGACCATAGGTGTATACCCCTATACCCAGCTTACTGATTGAGGTGAGGGTCTCACTGACTTTTTCCCAGGACTGGTCTCAAACTGAAATCCTCCCCATCTCCATCTTCTGGATAGCGGGGATTACAGGAGTGCACCTCTGCAGCCTGCTACATCTCATAATTTTGAACTTTGAACTGCAAAAATAAGGGTTTGGCTTGTTACATTGGCAAATGAAAGTAGCTCTTGTTTTTCTTTAAAGACATTCAGATCATTCAAGTCAATAAACCTTAAAGGTACAGCTAGTTGGCCCCCAGTTTAAATATTTTTTAAAATATTTTTTAAAGTACAGTTGTAAATGTAATCTCTGTGATACTGGAAATGTTGGGGAAAATATATTCAAAGGTTTCATCTCTGACTATAGCCTTTTTAAAAAAAATAGATACATAAATAAAGACAGGGCCAGCACAGGTTTGCCTTCAACTCTCAGTCTTCCTGTCACAGCCTCTCAGGTGTTGGTACTTTAGGCATGTACCTCATCACTCCTCAACTCCTGGTTTTATACCTTTTTTTTTTTGGCAAGACTGAGATTCAAACTCAGGGCTTCTTGCTCGCAAAGCAGGTGCTCTATCACTTGAGCCACACCTCCAGTACATTTTGCTCTGGTAATTTTGGAGATGGGGTCTCACAGAGTATTTGCCTGGGCTGGCCTCAAACCACAATCCTCCCCAATCTTAGCCTTCAAGTAACTAGGCTTACAGGCATGAGCCACCAGTTCCCAATTTTACCTACTTTTTGAATAGGAGAAAATCTGAATTCAGAGAAAGATGACCCAAGAAGAATTGAGAATATAGTAGCATTATATATTATTGGCAAATTTTGTTATCCATCATTTGATTTCTTCATTACCTATCTATATAGGAAGCAATGAAGCTACAACAAGATATGAGGAAAAAGAGACAAGAAGTGTTAGAAAAACAAATAGAATGCCAAAAGGTAAGAGCTCATTATTTGTATACTAGCATTGACTTGTAGGACAAATAATAATAATAAAGTTTTGGATACTTTTTGTTGGGACTGGGGTTTGAACTCCAGGCTTCACACTTGCAAAGTGATGCTTCTGATCTCAGCCTCCTACGTAGCTAAGATTAGGCATGAGCCACTGACCTCCAGCCACAATAGTAAAGTTTTTAAGGCCTAAATTTATGAAGCTAGTCTTACTTTTTTCTGGTTATTTTGTAGATGCTGATATCCAAGCTAGAAAAAAACAAAAACATGAAACCAGAGGAAAGAGCAAATATAATGAAGACTTTGAAAGAACTTGGAGAAAAGATCTCACAATTAAAAGATGAACTAAAAACATCTTCTACAGTTTCAACACCATCCAAAGTGAAGACAAAAACAGAGGTATCTGTTGGCATTTTTCATTTAACATAGGGTTTATTGAATATCTGCCATGTGCTTGGTACTTTGAAAATACACAGCAACCCTTAGGTAGCTATTAGATGCACTAGTAAAGTTACTGTAGAGTCACTACAAGACTAATGGGGGGTAGTCGAAAATTATAGTCCAGTGTGTTTCATTGTTTCTGTGGGTACGATGTGTTCACTTTGAGAAGAGTTACTAATTCTGTTTGAAAAAGAAGTGTTTTGTTGTGTTTGACTGGTGCTGGGGATCAGATCCAGTGCTACATGCTCACTAAGCAGGCTAGTACTGTGTCACTGAGCTATAGACCAGTCCCAAAGATGTGTTTTTGTTTTGTCTGGTGGTATTGGGGTTTGAACTCAGCCTCGTGATTGCTAAGTAGGCACTCTATGCTTGAGCCACACCCCTAGCCCTTTTTTGGCTTTAATTATTTTTACGGTAAGGTCTCACTTTATGTGTAGACCAGCCTGGACCTCAATCCTATGTATGTGAAAAATATTCTCAACTCCCTCATCTCAGGTGACTCCATTTTATGTAGTACTGTTGCTTATTATTTTCCAATGATATCATTGTGATCTCAACATGTTTGCAGTATCACATCTGTAAATTTAAAGTACCCATGTTTATTGCATTCTCTTACTCATTTTCCCAAAAGAGAGATATGTCATTGTGTAACTATGATCTGAATAAGATCTTGGAAGTTATATTTAAAAAAAAAAAACTTTTTATTCTTGATTTTTCCAAAGGCCCAGAAAGAGTTATTAGATACCGAACTAGACCTCCACAAGAGGCTGTCCTCAGGAGAAGACACAACAGAGTTAAGGAAGAAACTCAATCAGTTACAGGTTGAGGTAAGATTTAAACCATCATATTTAACATCTCAAAAAAATAGATTTTCCTCTTCCTCTACTTTCCAAGGTTTGGTCTAACAATCTGTATTACATTCTACTTTTGTTGTTATTTAGGCTGCAAGATTAGGTATTTTACCTGTGGGGCGAGGAAAGACCATGTCCTCTCAAGGTCGAGGAAGAGGCCGAGGCCGTGGAGGAAGAGGGAGGGGCTCACTAAATCATATGGTGGTGGACCACCGCCCCAAAGCACTAACAGTTGGGGGATTCATTGAGGAGGAAAAGGATGAATTACTTCAGCATTTCTCAGTAAGTTAAAAGTAGCAAATGCTAACTCTAAATATTCAGCATTTTGTTTGCTGCAGTCTGTATAGAATATGAAATGATATATAGGTTAGAAAATTTAGTTGTAAAAACATGGATATTAGCAGCTTCTTATTAATATATTTGAAGGTCAAGAAGTAGGTCTTGCTTTGCAATTCCATAATTCTCCACATAAACACATTTATAGTGACAAGTTGTTCAAAAGCTACATTTGATTTTTTTTTTAGGATTATTACATAGTATACCAGGTATTTCTAGTTAATAAATGAAAGTAATCTGGAAGAGAGGCAAAAATTCAAATAAAGAATTATTAGAGTAGTGGACATGTTTATTGTATTTTGTATACAGTGGCATACACTTATATAAACCTGGAGATTTGCTATAGGCAAGTATTTTTATTATTTTGGACATATACAGAGTGTGTTCTCTTTTCCAGCAACTAAGTAATTTCTTCAATAAATACTTAATGAAATAAAGTGTTTTCATACATGATCTCCTTTTATCTTAATAACTGCATATGTGTGAAGAACAGGAGAAGTGTATACATGTGAAATTTTGTGTTCAGATGTGAAAACCAAAGCTTAAAATGCCATCCAAGATCATACAGTTAATAAATACCAGAACCAGGATCACTACGTTCCTTGTTCTTATCAACACTATTATGTGTTGAAGTTTATGAGGCACATCTTGAAGACCAAGGCTTCTTTTCAAGTGTGTTCTGGTTCCATGTTCATCCATCCTGTTTTACCAGACTCTTGGAGAATGGCAGGCTATTAAAAAGAGCGGGCAGATTTGACAGTCGACTGGCTGTGGCTACTTTACTCTTGACCCAGTTTTTCCACTGCTGTGACCTTTATTTTCCTTTTTTGTATATTGGAGAATTAAATGACTCCTTCAAAGGGTAAAGAAGTTAATATATGGAGGAGCACTATAAATGCTGAATCTTCTTTTGAAGACTGTTTGATTTTTCTCAGTGTTAAGTATATAAAATTAAAATCCCCTTCCCTAATAAGTTCAGCATTTAGAGTTAACTCCAGCTCTGGTGAGGTGATAATGGATTATGTATAGCAGAATTTTTAGAAATTTGAATCTTTGCAGGAAGTTCTAATCACAAAAATTAGGAAATCTTGTTAGGCAGGATGCTGAGTCCTGGAGTTTTGGGTTAATATGTAAATTTTGACCCAGAAGTCATGTTCAAATGGATCTCCTTCCTTCTCAAAAGTAGAGCCATTCTAGAACTTCTAATAATACCAATTTTTATGGACATGTACTAAGTCTGTAATGTAGCTTTCACTTGGCAGAAATGGTTGTGTCCAAGCCTTTGAGGAAGAAGCAAACAAAACTAAGGTGGATGAAATTACGTCAAGAACAAAACAGTGCCATTGATTTTGATGGCTTTGGAGTGGAGAGAGTTGGAGTGCTCTAAGATGAGTATTAGGAACACACCTAAAGGGAACTTCTCTAAAGTTTTTGTATTCTACAAAGACCAAAATACTGTAGTTCAGTATTCTACTAAAACCTGTGTTTTCAGTATTCTTTTACTATTTTTAATCATGAGTGAGCAGTAGCTATACAAAAAGATGATGAACAGGTTTTAGTGAAGCTATGCTTGAAGTAGAAGTATCTAATTCCGGAACCCTTCAAAATTATTGTATCCAGTACTCTACTTCTAAGAATTTATCATAAGGGAATTATGATTCTCTATACCACTCTCAGCAGTGAAAATGGAAACCATCTAATTATCCAACAGTACTTTGCTGCCATTAAAAACACAATTTTAAAGAGAAATAATGTAAGAATAATTTTCAGAATTGACTATTAAGTTTAGAAAAAGGTGAGATACAGAAATGACACATAAACTTGAAATTAAAGTGTATTAACTAACAATTTAAATTGTTAGTTCTGGGAAACAGAATTCAAGTTATTTTTTAATTTTTTTGCCTCTAGGCACTCTATTCTTCATACTTGCCAGTGAACATATGCTGTTTTAAAATCAGACTTTTTACCTTAAACTTGCTTTTAGGACAAGCCATCCAGCATTTTTATGCCATGCATTTTAAAACCAAATTTGAGATGTGTGTTGATTTTGGAGCCCAGGTATTTGTATAGAAAATCCATACAAATTAAAACATCAAAGCTGGGGTCTGAGTGTTAGAGTGTCTGCCTAGTATATGCAAGGTACTGGGTTCATCCTTGGTACTGCAAAAGTAATTAAAAGTATATACAAATTAAAATGCATAGACTAATATGCAATGTGGGTTGTATATACTAACATGAAACATGCGTTTATATGTACATATTTGAATAGTACACATGTAAAGCTAACCAGGCAGTAAAATATTTCAGGCTTTTGTGATCAAAATATGGTCTCTGACACGTTTTTTTCTTATCCTCTCCTTTCCACTGCATCTCCCTCTCCTCTTTCCTCTTCTACTTCATTTTCTTTTTTTCCTTTTAATAACTTTTTTTAAAAAGTGAGATTATTTTTAGTTCACAGGCTATAAAAAACAGGGTGCTGAGTGGGGCTTATTGGTAAGATCTGGTAGTCCTGCCATTCAGGAGCTGAGGCAGCCTGGACAACACAGAACCCTACCTCTTAAGACAAACAAAAACAGGGTAGTGGATCACATTTGGCCTCAGAGTTGTAGTTTGCAATGCCCTGATTTGTTATTTACTTTACATAAGTTAAAGATATTTGTTTTAAAAATATGAACTATTATAATATCTAAATAGAACTTTATGCAGTGTTTTTCCTTATGGTACTTGCTATGCAAGTACTCTACCACTTGAGCTATGTCCCTAACCAACTTATGCATTTTAAAGATAAAAATCAATGAGTTCAGAAGGAACCTTTTTTGGCATTACTGGGGTTTCAACTCAGGGCCTTGCGCTTTTTAGGCAGGTGCTCTGCCACTTGTGCCAAGCCCCTAGTCCTTTTTGCTTCAGTTATTTTTCAGATAGGGTCTCTTGTTTTTGCCTGGGGTTACCCTTGGGCCTCCTTCTTCCTACTTATGCTTCCCAAGTAGCTGGAATAGCAGCATCTGGCTTAATGGTTGAGGTGGGGGAGGGATCTCTCTTTTTTTGCCCAGGTTGACCTCAAATCTCAAGCTTTCCAACCTTAACCTTTCAAGTAGCTGAAGAGCTTTTTAAAAAAGAGAATGTTTATATATCTTTGACTTCCAAGAGATCTAAGGATATTAAAAATCTTTACGAGGAATTCCCACTAGGTATTGTAACAGTAAAGTTTAGTTCAGAAACTGAAAATTTTATGTTTCTTTATAAGCCTTGCTTATAAGCCTTGCTTATAAAGACAGGACAAGACAAGTCAGGACAGGACAAGAGCTAAGTTGTATTCCTTAATCCCTGGTTAAAAAGAGAGTTTTGGCTAGCTTCCCAACAAGTTCCCACTAAAGCAAAAAAAAAAAAAGAGTTATTTTCCTAAGTGCTTGTTCTTTGTGATTTTTCAAGCAGCATGGATCAGCTAACTTCAGGATTTTTACCAGGGGGCTGGCAGAGTTGCTCAAGTGGTAAGAGTACCTGCCTTGCAAGTGTGAGGCCCTAAGTTCAAACCCAGTGCTGCAAAAAAAAAAAAGATTTTTGTCAGGGGTGGTAACTTATCTGTCAGAATTGGGAAGTTGGAGGCAGGAGAACCGCAAATTCAAGACCAGCCTGGGCTACTTAGTAAGTTCCAGGCCAGTCTACATAGTAAGACTATGTCAAAAAAAAAAAAAAAAAAATCCAAGGCCTGAGTGTTGCTTCCTGGCAGAGTATTTGCCTGGTGTGTGCAAGACCCTGTGTCCAAATCCTAGAAAAAATAAAAAATTGTGTTAGTGTAGTTTAACCTAGTGATATAGGATGGAACTTGATTTTTTTTTTTCTTTTTCTTCTGACTAGAAAGTAACACATGCTTCTCTTACGATACATTTGACTGCAAGTAACTTGGAAAATGTAGACCTTTCTTTTCAAGAGGTCTCAAGGCAGGGAGGTTTTAGAGAGGATAATTCAGAAACTCAGTCACATGAGTTCCTTGTATGTTTCTCTTCTGCCTTGCTAGTAGGGCTTTTATTCTTTAGTATTTTCCCTCAGGCTACCTAAATTCTGCTGCAGCAGCAAGCACTTCAGCCTCTAGTAAAATACCTAAAGGCAGGAAAGGAAGGGTTCTTTTCTTATGCCAGTGTTTAAAATAACGAGGAAATTATTTTTCACATATTACTGCCCACCCCTTCACTACTCTTACTCAGTGATGAGTCCTGAAGTCTTAGCCAGAAGTGTCACATACACGTCTCTAAACTAATCCTTGTTGCAGGAACCAGTTACCATGATTTAATTAAATTAATCATGGTTTGCCCTCCCTGAGGTTCACCTGTAGTGATGGCTGACGATGAAAATAAGGATCTGTTAAAAAAGAAAAAAGTTAAGATTGTTGATTAGATAACTGAGTGTCTTCCTTGATATTGATTGAAGAAAACTTAGAAGCATGTAAATAAGAGAACAGCAACAACTTCAGGTATCATAGAATCTTCTGTTAGGAATTTCTTAGTTTTAATTTAATAAAAGTTCACACATGCATATCATTCGAAGAATCAGATTAACTTACCAGTCTCCTGCCCCATTCTCTTCATTTTCCCTTTGTTGAGACATTCACTTTTAACTAATTCTTTTGACATTTTTTTCACGTGGTTTTTCTGTTACGTCTTGATTTTCTAAATTTAGGCATTATATGATACCTGATTTTCTCCTAGCCTTTATGCTTCCTATTTCCTCAAGTTTTTGGCTTTGTTGTGTTCTCACTTTCTCTTTTCTTGTGGAGGTAGGCCTTTAAACAACAAATCCTTCTACTGTCACTTTGACAGGTATGGGGGATATGAAATTACGTACAACATACAGTCAGTCAGTCCTTCATCTTTAGTCAGAAAGCCCCTTTGGGCCTTTTTTTCCTTTTTTCTTTGTTTTTTTTTCCAGTGCTGGGGTTTGAACGTAGGGCCTCAAGCTTACTAACCAGATGTTCTAACACTTGAATTACTCTGCCTGCCGCCACTCCCTTTGGATCTTAAGAGTAAGAAATTTAGAAGTCTGAGTTACTGTATATCATCTCCCCACCCCCCAATCCTCCCCTAGGCTTTGAACTTAGGGCTCATGCTTACAAAGCGTTCTACCGCTTGAGTCACACCTTCAGTTCATTTTGCTCTGGTTATTTTGGAGATGGGGATCTCATGAACTGTTTGTGGTGCTGGCCTTGAATGGCATCCTCCTAATCTCAGCCTCCAAGTAGCTAGGATTTCAGGTGTGAGCCATTAGTGCCTGGCAAATATTATATAATTATAATTTCTCAAGAATCTCTTATTCCCTATCCCTGCCATTTCTAGAACTTCAAATAAGATACCTAGGTACTTCTGTAATTACTGAAGAGTTCTCACGTACAGTGGGCTTTCCTTGACAGGGTTTTCTCTGTCTTTCAAGTATCTAAAAAGTATATTTGGGAGTTTTGCTATGTGTAGAAGTGATACCTTATGTTAGGCAAGTGATTTTCTTTTGTGTTCACTATAACAAAAGTTACCTTTTTTCTGAATTTAATATTTTGAGAAAATTCTGGTTAGTGTTTCATTGATCATCATGTATCAGACTTTGTTAAACATGATTAGCAATGTAGATGTTTTGTAACTCCTGATTTACCATCATTATTTGTTACAAGTGATTGGGAGGTTATCTTTTCTGCATACTTTATTGTATTGAGTCTTCAGATAAAATTATAATTTTGGTAGCTAGTTATGAAATCTGTTAATAATTTGTAACCCTTGCAAAGTCAGTGAAACTCCAAACCTTCTTTTTCCTGCTCAAATTTCTTTACAAAGATAATTCCTGTTTTTATAATATCCCAACTATAGATTACAAAGGAGAAAGCACCACAAATCTGAAATATCATCAGTTACATTTGGGGTGGGGTTATTGTTTTTGGTTTGTTTGTTTTTGGAGACAGGGTCTCACTATTAGCTCAGGCTGGTCTTAAACTTGTGATCTTCCTCCCTCACCTGAGATTACAGGCATGCACCACTATACCTGGCTCAGTTACCTTTCCAGCTCCTATGTCTATGATAAATGCACACTCTACCCAATGATGTATCGTGGAGAATCTTTCATCTTCATAAATCTATGTATACATTTATCTTATTTAAAGGCATTTTGTTGTAAAGACATACAGTAATGTTTGTGTCTGGTCCCTTGCTAATGGTAGGTTATTTTCCATTTTTCACGATTATGGGCAATGTTATATACACCTTACTGGATTTGGCATTTTTGAATGTGATTACTCTTCACCATGTAGGATTTTCTTGCATATTGCAAGACCCTTAGCCCCCTTTCTCCCAGTCTGCTAAATTCTAGTTAAGTGCTTTCCAATCTGTGTGAGAACCAAAATACCCGCTAGAGTGATTTACTGTCTCCAATTAAGAGCCATTGCTGTAGGGAAAATCCTAGGAATGAGATAGTCAGATTAAAAGCAGGCATATTTAAAGTTTTAGTGTAGCTTGCAGAATAACCATTCAAGAATGTTGCACTATTGGTGACATAGAGTATCTGTCCATACCCTTATGTGACACTTGAGTTTCGTTTTTCATCTTTGAAAGTCAGGTAACTGACTAGTACACATTTGACATCAGTGTCTGATGTGGGGAATTGCTGGGCTAGGTAAATCTCTCTTTGAGCAACTTCTACCAATGAAGTTCCAAGAACCCTAAGCTACTGCATGTAGCTTTTCCTTTATGGTATATGGTTTAACTCATATCTCTTTGTGTGTGTGTGTGTGTGTGTGTGTGTGTGTGTGTGTGTGTGTGTGTACATACACATACATTTTAATTTGAGTTACTTTAGTTCCTTGGTGGCCACACACATATACAAAATATATATAGATGGAGTAAAAGTGTATACTACTCTGAAAAATAAGATTCCTTTCTACCTGTAGTCACTCGGTATCACTACCCATAGGAGTTACTGTCACCCATTTCTCATCTGTTGTCTTGACATTCGCTCTCTCTCTCTCTCTCTCTCTCCCCCTCTCCCTCTCCCTCCCTCCCTCCTTCCTTCCTTTCTTCTCTCTCTTTCTCTCCTGCATGTTCTTTTCACTTGATACATACTAGATTGTTCTATATTAGTACATATGGTTAATTAGTCAACAATATTTAATAAATAGGGTGCCTTTAAAGAGAAACACATACAACAAGTTTATGCATTAATGAATTAGCAAAAATATTGTGACCCTCTAGAGGCTCATAAGAACTTAGCCTAACCGTTTATTTCCTGATCTCCTGTGGGAGCAGTGGATTAGTATTTGCTAATCCAGCATTTGCAGCAAATTTTTTTGGACATAACTACCACAAAAATGAAGAATTTTTTAGATTGTGCAGGTACTGATTCTTAGATATTATAGTATCATTCTGTTTTTAAATTTTTATATGAATGGAATCGATGGTATGCATTTTTTTGTGTCTGTGCTGCTTTTGTTTCATTATGTTACATGTGGCATTTCTTTGCTGTTTTTATTTGCTATATAGTATCTAATTGAATAATTATACCACAGTTTACTTTTCCGTTCTCCCATTGATAGGTATTTGGGTTATTTTCATTTTATGGCTTTTATTATTAGTGTTGCTATGGACATTCCTAAAAGATGTCTTTTATTGCATATATGTACACATTTCTGCTAATGTGTGTGGAACTATTGAGTAAACCACATCAAATTTAGATTCTTAACCAATTTAGGATTCGTTGGATTCTAACTAGTCACGTATGAGAATTCCTGACTTGGTATTATCAGGATACATCTTTAGTTGCTAATCTTACTTGATTTGTTATAAATTAGATAGTAGGGGATTTATTCTTAGTTCCAAGACAGCATACAAATTAAACTTCTAGTTCTTCCTTTAATAATATGTATGCAATAAATACATTTAATTCCTTAAAATTCCTTTTTGGAGGATTACTTTTTAAAATCTTTATTACAGATGTAAAAGTCTTTCTGCTTTTTCTGAGTATAAAATTAAGATATTTTTATTTGAAAATTTGGATAACACAGAAATGAACAAAACAAGCAGTGGAAGCCTATATAAGTGGGCTATGTTGAAAGGATAAAATAAAGGCAAAGGATGTCTGTTATACACATTACCTGATGATAGCGTGTATATTTGGATAAGATCATTTGGATTTATCAGTTTAGAATGTCCCAGGAGTCACTGTGTTTCATGTTAGGTCATAAGCACCAGCCCCCACAAAGAACAATCAGAATGTTTTCCGTGGGTCACAGGATGATATCTACACAGGCAGTAATTGGTTTGCTCTGAGTCTGACTGACGCATACTCTTACCATGCAGTGATCCAATTGTGTTTTGGAAACATTTGGCAAATACTTCATGAGCCTTATCAAAGGTTTTCCTATTCAAACTAGAGTGAAACCTCAAGTTAAAAAGATCCCCTTCAGTTATGTTTTTCAGAACTGCACCAGAATAGGGCTATTCTGCAATCCAGCACCTTTGATAGAACAACTGTGGGGATGACTCAGCATTCACTGTTATGAAACTTTAGGTCCCCTTTCTGTTGTCTCTGTTGCTTTGTCTTTAAATGGGCTGGAGGATTTGAATTCAAATTTTAGAACTGCAATAAGTAAATAAATAGCTGGGGAGAAAAAAAATATTTAAAAGTAATACCAAGAAGTACATTTGAATCAGAGCAGTTTTACCTTGGTTTAGGACAGTGTGTGTTTAATGTTTTTTGAATACATAGATGAGCTGGGAGTACTTGACACTGAATGGCATTTCAGAAGAAGAAGTGGGAGGAACATTATCAGATATAAGCAGGGATGTAAGAGATGCAGTAGAATGAATTAGCATGAGATTTTTGCTGTCTTTTAAAATTACTTATTTTTGAGTGAGTGTAAATTTGTAAATACCAAACTCAAAAGTCAATAAGTGGATTAAGAGTGTTTGTTTTTCTTACCATGACTTTTACAGTAGAATGAGTATGTAACTTAATCAAGATAAATGCTAAAATTTACCTGACATACATATAAACCATAGACTTTTCTAGGCAGACCAGGACATACAGTTGCTTTAGTTACAAAGTGTTTCAATTCAATTCTAGATTGTGGATCCATCTTAACACCACCCCCCCATCATCATCCTTTTAAATAGCAGAGTTTGAAGAAATCCTTAGTAAGTATGGGTGCAAACTTATGTATTCTTCTAAAATATATTTTAGGCTGCAAATCAAGGGTCAAAATTCAAAGACCGTCGGCTACAAATATCATGGCACAAGCCCAAGGTACCGTCTGTATCCACTGAGACTGAGGAAGAAGAAGTCAAAGAGGAGGTAAATTCAGTGATTGAAAACAAGGGTTGAATTAGATAACTTCTCAAGTCTATATTTTTCTTAACATCAAATACTATGGAATTAAAAAATAAATAGTTTTCTTTCATTATACAGTTAGTTAAAATAGTCTAGAAATAATAATCAGTGTCTTAAAATCTTTGACTAATAATTTTTCTTTTTTTACTTTGTATTTCTAATTAGTTCATTAAAGTGAACATAGCCAGTTTGGCAAATTATTTCTGATTCCATTATTTTTCTTTTAAAAGATGTCAAGCAGCTGTAGTTGGTCAAGTATTTTCTGGCTATATTAGTAGTTTTATATAACAAAAACAGAAATACTCTCCACATTAAAAGGAAAAAAAGAAAATTGGGCATGGTGTTATACATCTGTAATCCCAGCTACTCAGGAGGTGGACATAGATGGATTGTGGTTCAGGATCAGCTGGACAAAATGTTAGTGAGATCCTATCCCAAAAAAATAAGTCAGGCATAGTGGTACACACCTGTAATCCCTGCTACTCAGGAGGCAGAGATAGGAGGACCAAAAGTTCCCAGGCCCACGTGGGGAAAAGTGTGAGACCCTATTTGAAAAACAAAAGGACTGGGGTCATGGCTCAACTTTCATTGCTTAAAATAAGGAAAAAACAAAAAACAAATAGCCTTGGTATTTTGGTAATGTTTAGGGTACTTGTACTTTGTGCAAGATTTTAGATTTTTATGTAAGATTTGTAATGTCAGTGTAATGGGGAAGTTACTATATTTTCTGTTCATTAATTGGATACACCAGGAAAGACTTGGAGTTTTAGTGGTCGTTTATTTTTTTCTCATTTTTAAGTCAACAGAAATAAAATTAAGTTTAATTTTTACCAGAGACATTTCTCATGGATATTTTTTCTTTTAATTTCTTCTAGTAAACATCTACTTAGTATTTATCTTCCTGATGTTAGAATTGAAGTCTCTTATTAGCAAAATAAACAGAAGATAAGAATTTGTATCCATTTAAAAACATGTCTGGTAGAGTGGCTCAAGTGGTAGAGCACCTGCCCAGCAAGCTTTAGGCCCTGAGTTCAAAACCCCAGTACCGAAAAAAAAAAGAAAGAAATCTAAAGTCACAACCAAATAGGAAGAATAGTTCTGATGTTCTGTTTCACAGAGAATGATTATAATTAACAATTATTGTAGTATACAATTCAAAACAGCTAATAGAACTTTGAATGTTCACATTGCAAAGAAATGAAATCTTTTGTGTATTCTGAGTTGATCAATACACAGTGTTTATTTAAATGTACCAAAATATCACACTGTGCCCCATAAAAGATGTACCATTATTATCTGTCCAAAGGGGAAAAAATGGTGTTTTTTTCTTTTTCTTTCTTTTTTTAGCCCCGAAAGATACTTTGAATGCATCACTTATACATATCACCTGGCCTTTGGATATTAGTGTGTTTATCCCTTGGGTTAGAAAGCATTTTACTGTTCACTACCACTAAGCAGATTTTACCCTCTCTTTCTTCAGGAAACAGAAACCTCAGATTTGTTCTTGCACGATGATGACGATGAAGATGAAGATGAATATGAGTCTCGTTCATGGAGGAGATGAAATCTGATGCAAGCTGTATAATTTTTAGGAATATTGTTTAGAAGAACAACTTTTTAAAATTATTTAAAGAAGTCAATGAGCCAAAAAGATTTTTTTATTTTTCTTTTCAACACAGTAGGTTTAAGGACAGCAAGTTTGCTATTTAAAGGCATCTCATAATTGTACATTGTACTAAAAGCACCAAAGGCCTAGTGACTCTTCCACAGTGGTGAAGATCCGCAGGAATGACAAGGGTAATCTCTAGAGCCTTATTTTCCACACCACTTGTTCTTGTTGTATTGGTGTTGGATTATGATGTAAATGACAGGGTGTTCAGAAATTTTATTTTGGATTATAATCTGCTGATAAAATTTCATTAAATGTCAAAATCGCCTGGAATCTCTTAACTCTCAGCTATTATGGATGGGTCGTCAGACAGTAGGAGGTATTTGTAATTAAAATACCCTTTTGCTTTCAAGAGTTGTCTTGAAAGAAAAGTAATTTTAATTTTTTTCTTTTTTTTACTGTGGAGGAGCCCAATTTACTTCAATCTTAAGTTCTTTTTTCCATAGTTTTTATGTATAATAATACTATTTCAGCAAAATTCACAATAAATTCTGCATTCATAAATGCTATAAAGCAATGGTAGCCAGCTCAGTGGTATTTCCATCCTCTCATTAGCTCATGGACGTACCCTGCTGCTCGTCTTTCTTTGCTTTGATACTTAGCGAGCTTTGGTTTAGTTAGTCCTCTTTTTTTTTTTTTCTTCAAAACCTGAACATGCAAAAGGTGTTTACTTAATGCCCCTTTTCACCTTTCCTTTTCCTCCTCATCCCTTTTTACTAGGAGCCTGACTTACTGAGATAAGTGCTTCAGTTGGGCCTTTAAGAGTCAGTACCCAATAAAAGGTTTAAACCTGCACCTTGATAAATAAGTGATGTTTTGATAAAAATAAAGGAAAGATTTTAGGGGGAAGAGTCACTGACTTCCCCCTCCCCCATCTTCTGAAGCTTCAGTTTAGTTATAGTTCTACAAAAGGGTTAAAAAGTATCTGAAATTCTTTTCCTAAATTGAAAAGATGGGGAGGTGCCTGGGGGTAGGGTGGGCAGGGTAGGAGGCTGGTGTGCTAGTAATGAATGGGAGTCATAACTTGACACTGATCAGATGACCTTGTATTTCCCTAATTTTATAGCTTTTTGCTTTTCACAAACATACCCATCCTTTAGTAGGCAGTTTGCTGTGTGCGTTTTTACTGTACACCGTATAGAGTATCTGTTAAGTAAAATATATGTGTAAATTTATGTCCTTGTGTTCTGAATGTTAAATGGAAAAGCAGAGAAGCAACACTACTCTTTTCTGACCCCTGGGGAAATAAAATGATTTATGTACATAGGATGTCACTTTTTCAAGGTTATGTACATCTGTGCTTTTATATGTGTGTGGTATGAAAATTTGAAACTTCCTGTTGGCTTCAGAAGGTTCTTGGTGATCACTATATCAAGAATTTTGTTTCCTGAAGTAAAGAATTTCTCAAAATAGAAACTATTCGCTAAGAAACTTAAAACCATCAGGACTCTAGATTTACTTAGCTACATGAAGTTAAATCCCATGTTCTGATCATCCTTTCCCTTTTACATATTGTCCTGGAATGATGTGTCAAACCAGGATCATATTTAAGTTCATAGTAAGGACTTCCTCTTTCTGGGTTATTGTTTTGTTTCTGATAACACTGAAGCTAAAATAAGCTCATAAAAGAAGGAAAAACGTTAGAATTGGGAACCTATAATAAGCATCTTGCTCCTTACTCCTCCATCAACTCTAATGAAATTTTATTGATGTTTGTGGCTCAGTCAGTATATATTTTGGAAGATTCATTGTGGTGAATATTTTGAGTCCTGACAGTTTAAACGTGATAGAGGGAACAAAGGATTTATATATTTTTTGTACAAAGTTTTTTCTTAAACTGTATAATTTTGTAAATAATTTGTTTGGGTTTTTTTCTTTTGTGTACTAAAACTACCAGCGTATAGATTTCAATAAGAATTGTTGTATTTTTGTATTTGGAAACTGAAAATTACAGTAAATTAATGGAGCTGTAAAGAAAATTTTCAGTAGACTGACAGTTCGACAGAATGAAATTCCTTTTCATATGATTTTTTTTTAACCTCAAAATTGACATCTTGTTACACTCATTATAGAGAGAGTTGAGGATTTGTTTGACTTTTTAGTTATTGGGGACGGGATGAAAGAGAAAGGTGCTAAAGTGAAGAACAGAGGTATAGCTTTTCATTAAGGTTTTTAGTCCTTTGGATAAGACTTGAGTTTTCAGTATACCTTAAATAGAACTAAAATATTTTTAAATGTCCTAAGAATTTTAAAACATGTTTGACTCTCAAAAATGAATTCAGAACATGGATTAATTATATTACAAAACTTAAGATTAGCATAAAATAGTTGAATGTGTATATGTATATATACACTCCTACACATCTTGGGATTTTTTTTTACCCCTACTTTCCAATCCTCAGCTGTTAGATTTCTTAAAAGTGAATAACTACCATAACTTGTTTTCTTTGCATCTTTACAGAAATAACATAACATTCTGCTGTTCTTCTTAATGTACATGATGCCTTTACAAGTAGTGGATCAGCAATAACAGCCAGAGTTTGGCTAGGTCAGTCAGACTTACTAGATTTCTACCCCAAGGAATGGAAATTTTCCCTCAATTTCTCCATGTAACATTGTGAAAATATTGTCACCAGCTAAGATGACAAATTGGGAAGCAGTCCTGTTAAGATGGAAAAGGTCCATGTTGATGGATCATTATTTCAAAAAGAAAAAAAAAATCATGTGAAAAGGAATAGTGGTTCCTCTTGATGTATAGTATGCCTGTATTATAGTTTTTACAAATTGTGTACTGTGTAATAGTATAATAGGAGATACTGTTGAATTTCTAACTGTTTATACATTTAAATTCTCTATGTAATGTTTGTTTTATTGATTACAATCTGAATTTCTAAGAAGCATGTTGACTTTTGCAATAAAGATGCAATATGGAATGGTTCAAAATTGGGGGAAAAAAAGAAAAAAAAGATAAAAGTATTACAAATTTAAAAGAATTTGGAAATTTATGAACCATTCCAAAAATTATAACAATCACCAAAAGAGCTCTAATTCTGGCTTGTTCTGGAAAGAAAGAAAATGTGTGTATGCTTGCTTGTGTGAGAGATTGAGTAGTGAGTGTACATGTGTGTCTCATGTACGTGAGAGTGTCACTTAATATGAAGTTCAAAGCCACTGGCTGTAAATATTCGATAATAATTCCATCAAAAGGGTAGTCTGGAGAGTGAAAAAAGAAAGGTAGCAGAGTCAGGCATGGGGGCAGGGGTGGCTGTTACTGCCAGCATGTGGAAGTTGGATTGAGAGTTTGAGGCCAGCCTGAGCTACACAAGATCCAGACTCAAAAAAAAGAGAGAGAAAGGTAAGCTTTAATAGCCATACTTTTTTGGTCACAGATAGGTCTTGGTATCTCAGATAAAAAGCACAGTTTTATGAAAACAAGTATTTTAATGTTATCTTGAGGATATTCAGTAGGCCTGCCAAAATTAGGAAGGGCATCTTTAGTAAAAGAGGGAAAAGGAAGAGATGACTTAGATCACTTCTAAATGTCATGAAGATTTGTGAGGAGAAACAGAAGGCAATGACTACACAGCAAGGACTGGGTAGTAATGGAAAGGAAAAGGAATTACACCACTTGAGCTATTTAAAGAAAATTTTTTGACAGTACTGGGGTTGAGTTCAGGGTCTTGCATTTGCTAGGCAAGCACTCGCATTTGAGCTACACACCCCTTTCCCCACCCCCTCTTTTTTTTCCTCTAGTTATTTTTCTGATAGAGTCTCATGTGCTTCCCACATAGCTGGAATTACAGTATGCACCACCACAACTGAATAATTTGGTGAGATGTGGTCTCACTAACTTTTTGCCAGAGCTGGTCTTTAACCATGTACCTCCCAATCTCTGCCTTCCAAGGAGGAATTGATTATAGCTGTGCCCCCACCCAAAATAAAATAAAATAAAAATACCCCTTCAAATGATTACCTGAGAAGGGTCATTCTTTAAGTTTCAGCTTATTCAAGAAAATTGTAATAAATACTGTTTTTGTTTTCTCAAATATACAGCTAGAGAAATTCTATGCATGTTATTTTATATATATCATGTAAATGGCAAGCTGTGTGTGGCCATTTGAATAGACCATAGATGTTCCTACATATCTTTATAATAAATAGTACTGGAACTTTTTTATGGGGGTCAGGCATTCTAACAGTTATCTGTTTAGGAGTAATAAGACAAATGTTTTACTAAAATGGAGCTCTTATTAGCAAATTATTGGTCTTACTGATGTTTTTACTGATTTTGATGTGAATCATACTGAGGCCAAGGATAAATTTTGAATCATAAGCCCTTGCATGTTAGCTACTCTGAATTTCTGTTACAGTGAAGACCTTCATGATTGTGCATGTCACTATTTGGGGAAAGAGTCAAGGATGCTTTAGACCAACTGGGACCAACACTATCTTGCAGGGCAAACTGCTCATTTTGTAGTCATTTTTCATCCCAGAGACTTACCTAAGGGCCCAACCATAGTTGACTCAAAAAGGCTAATACTGCTATCATATGTATTATAAATTATCTTAATTTCTGCTAACTTGATTTTATTGCCAGGGGATCTTTCAACAGGATCATCTACCATTTGGCCTCTTTCAACAGGATCATCTACCATTTGGCCTCTTACCTGTTTGGCAGCCAACCTTGGGTTAAATCATTCCAGTATTTTGAGATAGATGACTTGATATAGGTGAAATTAAGTCAGAATAGTGTTGATGCTGTTCACAAGATAACTTGTGGTCGTGGTAGTCAATAAGGACAAACACTGCTGTTACTTTGTCCTTGTGTTTATGTTAATTACCTCTTTTATGAAAAAGCAAGAGAAGAAGGTCTTAATCTAATAGCCTGTTAGCTGGTTTGGGATGAAAATAACAAGCCTGTATTTCTTATATTATTTCAGTTTCTAACCACTTTCATAAAGTTCTAGTACTTTGATCCATTAGCTTTTTGCGTTTGTTTTGTTTTTATGATATTGGGATTTGAACTCAGGACTTTGTGCTTGCTAGGCAGGTGCTCTACCATTTGAGCCACACCTCCAGCCCCTAGTTCTTAAAGCAATATTTAGAGTTGGAGTTAGGTTTAGCAGTTTGTTTTTCAAAATTGCTCTTTACTCAATTCTTTGTCAGAGTAGGGGTAGAAAGAACACTAATCAATGTCATGTTTCTGTCAGTGAAGTTCTTCACAATAACTTGATTAAAACCTTATAAAAATGTCTTATTAACAGTTTTCTAAAGCCATTGTGATTTTATTTCTTCCTATTTTCTTGAAGACTGTGTGTAGTCTGGATTCATTTCTTACGGATTTAGATGAGCCAATCAGAGCTAACACAGGCGTTTGACAAGTTAGTTTTGTTTCTTGAGGATGACTGTTTCAAGATTGAGGCTGATCACATGTTCAGTTTGATTTCTTAGATCAAATGCTGTGTATTTATGCAAGCATGTTTCTTACAGAGTTCTAGTTCCTGAACTACACCCTAACAAAAGATTTATTTACTGTAGGACTCAGTTCTTAACCTTTAGAGCCTGCAGGGGGCTCCAAAAGGCAAAATTTAGTCTTAGAGCAGCGACAATCTTTTCACAGCAATTCACAATGAGATACGTTTTGCATTGTAACCTAGTGTACACCCCCCCACATACACACCAAATAAACTTACAGAACAATACTTGGTTTACTGTGCATCAACACTTGGTATCTTTATTGTGTTAGATAAGGATACAGAAGTTTACAAAACAATACTTAGGCTTACCATGCAATATACATTTGGTATTTTTATTCTATTAGATAAAAATTCTCCTCTACACCCACAATTGGACTTTCAAAGTTGTAGTTTAAACTACCCTATTGAGTTGCAGGATGGATTGCATTTTTAAATCACTGCCTTCCTTGCTGTAACATCCTCAATACTACTCTGAGTATAAAAT